TCCAAAAAAAAAAATTTGTTTAAGGAGATGTTTTTCGAGGTAACTACGAGAGGGTATTTTTTGTTTGATTTTTCGATTTTTCGCAGCACTTGAAACTCAAAAACCCGATTTTCTCTGAAAATATCGATCTATTTTTTACTGTATAATTAAGGGGGGGATCTCGTGCAAAAAAATTTTTTTACAATTTTTTTTTGCTTTAAAAATTAGTTTACTATCTGTAGAATATGATCCTACATTACTAATCTATAATTAAATGTATGAATGTCTATAGTAATCATAAGTTTAGCACTTCAGATGCTACCAAATGCAGTTAACTATGAGCACGTGATCCCTCTATTCTTTCGGTTTCTTTTCAATATAATTTTATTAATTGTCATTAGCAAGCACCATAACCAAGTGATAGTAAATCTTGGTTTTAGTGCAATAGTTATTCCGCGCGCCGTGCAATGTAGCTCAGCCAATTTTTAACCGATTTTAATCAAACTTACCATAAATCTTCTTTATCTTACTGGCTATTGCATGACGACCTCGTTTTTTTAAAAAACAATTTTCTGAACAATTGTTTATAAAAAAGTGATTTTTTTTCAAAATGGTCCCAAATTTTCAAAAAAAATTTTTAGTTTTCTCTTCGTCATGCAAAGCGTATTTGCGTATTTTAACGGTAAAAATTTTGATTTTAGTTTAGATTTGTGACCTGTAGCCTACACGGCGCAAAATTAAAGATGCAACTTCAAACACCTGTAACGCCACCATTTTGTAATGTTTTTTAATAAAAATTTTCTTTTATAAAGCTTATATTGTATACTTTAAGGTATGCTTTACTTTAATTCAATAAACTTAACCAGTTTAAAAAAAAAAAAAATTCATGAAAAACCGTCCATTTACAAGAGTTCCCCTCCCTTAATAATTATTTTAAAAAAACTCTCGTAGTTACCTGGGTAAGTAAGTCAAGATGTATTGAGCCCAAAACGATTGGTTCAGTAGATTTTAAGATATCGTGAACACGGACTTCAAAAATGTCATTTCGAGAAAAACGCAATTTTAAATTTTGATAATTTTTGAAATCTGACTTCAGATTCGTAATCAGCGACCCCAAAACTTATACATACACATCAACGACATCAGAAAACATTCAGAAATGTCAGCAAAAGGTTAAACATAAACTAAATTCAAAATGTACGAAAACACAGCCCGCGGAGCAACCGACACTTTAATGTTCAAATGTTCATAACTTCGTCAATTTTTCTCCGATAGGCTTGAAATTTTCACACAATATTCTTGAAATATTATACATTCAATTAAAAAAATAAACAAAAAATTAATACCATTCCCCCCCACCTCTTGATTTGCTATAGGTATCATGCATATCTAAAGTGACAAGTTTGACAAATTTGTTGATTTATCAATTTTTTTTACGTTATTCCTAATGTTGACCCAATATCCACCCAGCTGGGTGGTAAATCAAATCCGCCAGGGTATTTTTTTTGTTTATCTCAAAAACCGAACAAGTTTTTTTCCCAGACGTAGATCTCTACCTGAAAAAAGACTATTTTTTTAACTTTTCTAAACTTATATAAATTTAGAGAACACAAAATAACAGATTTTAAAATAAAAAATTCATTGAAATCAGTTAAAATTTGTAGGCTGTAGGGTATTTTGAGAGAACTGATGCTGTTTCTGTGCCAGTGTGCTCTGCTTCAGTGAAAGTAGCGCGTCAGATTTATTAAATTATGCAGTTATTAACCAAAGTTTCATTTTATTTAAAGATCTAAATGCAACTACGTTTTCTTCAATATCTACGTTTGAGTCTGGAATGTGAAACGTTTCTTAGGTATGTTTTTTTGTATTGTGTTGATTCTTATAGCGTGCAATGTGGTATGCGTTTTTGATTCGTGTGCTATTTCAAAAACTTGGGAAATGCGAAACAACGTTTTTACCTAAGAAATTTTTTGATAATAATATTGCAAAAATTTAGAACATTTTTTTTCTCTGATTTTTAAACAAGTGGAAATAATAATTTATTTGTTATTCACAATATAATAGAATTTCACAAAAAATATTTTGTCTGACAGACCAGACTAATCCAAATCCGGGGTCAGAATTCAAAAATTATGACTTACATATTGTATCTATAACTGAATTTTTGCTTACTTTGACTGTTGATTTGGATTCAGTGAATTCTCTGAAGATCGTGAATCGGTTGTTTTTGGTGTTGCTGAAAATGAGGGACGCATCAATAATCTCTAAACCAAATTTTTTAGAATGAAAGGGTACGTTGTAAGAAAACTGTATCTGCCAAAACAGCACTTTTTGGAGCTAAATATTAATTATTGCTATTAAAGCATTGATAACACAAGATTGTTTATAATTATCGTAAACTTTGTTCAAGTAAGATTTTCTTACTGATTCAAGAGTATATTATACAATAAAGCATTTAGGACGTTAAATGTCATGCAAAATTAACCTATCAAATATGGGCGTTTAACACTTTCTTAGAGCGCACCCTTCAATTATGATTTGATAGACTTTTATTCTGTAGAATATTAATTTTGCAGAATATTTATTTGTTCGAATATTAATATTTTAGAAAATGCAAAGGGAGGGGGGGTCAGGTCAAGCAATTTGTGACGACCCGTAGAAAAAATGTCGCTGAAGTATGTAGCAGTGTGTGACGTAGGAGGAGGATACAAAACTGGAATAAAATAGCGTGACGTAGTTTGTGAACAACCCCAAAGAACTTATGTCGTAAAATACATATAAAAATAGAAAAAATAAAATTCCCTTTTAAGAAGGTTACAACAAAGTAATACTATTTTTTAGGTTCAGATCAATAAGTCACAAAATATGAGTTAATATATAAGATCAAAGTTATTTAAGATAAAATTTGTTAGTCTCGTTAATCAAGATCAATCTTTGATCAGTTAGCAAATCCATAAGTCTAATTTTTGGTAGTCTTCTTGTATTTGGTTGGTACGATGACTTTGTATTTTTCTCCGTCCGACAATTCAGGTCGAAGAGCCATTACCTCGTCAAGAGACTGATTCGCAAATTCAGTCGTCATTGATTGTACTGCTGGCAACGTTTTTCCTCGGACAGATCTTTATTGGAAGGTGTCTTGTTGTTCGCCGGTTTTCAATAAGAGAAAGAGCGTTCTCTCTGATCAAAAATGCCCTCACACGATTGGCATAATCGTTTTGATTCACAAAATTTGCCTTGATCTTCCGACGAAGTTGCTCCTTTGTGTGCTCGTTGATCAAATATTGATGATCATATGGTATTGCCCAACCTGGCAAGGTTACATAGTTCAATCGAAGCCAGTCAACCAGTCCAGCATAGCGGATGTTGCAATCCGGACATTCGGGGCAATAAATGCATAAATCGTTCGAACAGCCAACACATTTATTTAAAACCATCTCGTGCTCAACTCCATGTGGATAAATACAATCAATGGTCTTGAATCCATCGGCTCCGCAGATCAAGCATGAATCAGTCTCATCGGCATTTGCATTCACGCACGCAGCAGTTCTTTGTTTGCTCGTCACTGAAACAAATGTCTGAGTACCTCGATCAACTTTGTTGGCTTTCATCGTTTTAAGTAAGATCTTAGCTCTTTTTGTGATCAAATTCTTGAGCAGCTTTTCCGATAGGATCCTGCAATCCATCATGTAGAGCGGCTAGGATTGATTCTTCGAATCAACCAATTTCAGAACTCCCAGTTCTTCATGACATCTTGGAAAGTTGGAATGTCATTGATCGTGTGTGGCAAAGGTTCCACCTTGGAACGATGACAGAATCGGTTTTATCGGTTATCCTCATTTGTTGACCATCCTTCTTCAGCATCGGCTTCACGTTAGGAATGCGATTCCTCTTCTTGTTTTCTGATCGGATGTCGAATGGAGTTACCCTGACAGTATTCGTCAATTCGATTACGAAACTCGTTGATTAATTATCGAGCATCCGCAGAAATTTCGTCAATGCGTCCCTCACTCGTCGTACTTGCCAAAGTTCTGTAATTTACTTTCGCCCTCATGACGCGATTATTCTCATGCGATAAGCCTTCACCACGTCATCGGTAAATTGCATTTTGGCTAATTCTCGTCCCCTTTATCTAAGATCTTAATCTATATAAACGGAAATTATAGGTTTTATTGTTTGATTTACACTCTCTACTGGATTACTGTGAGGGATGAAAACGGGGTAGTAATATGCCTAACGCCTCTGGCCAGTATGTACGCTTGACCTCTTTATTTATAAATTCTTTCCCATTATCTGTCACAACGCAAACCATTCGATAAATTTCGTATATAAATTATGAACAACAATAATATCAGAATTTCCCTTCTTAGTTTGTCTGAGACACTAGTGTATCGATCGACAATTGAGTCCACGGTAACCGTATGGATCGTATAGCTAACCTAGCTTTAACCTTGATATATTTTTCGCAATATATAACATAAGATTTGACATTTTGAGTCATGTTTGACCAATAATAACTTTGACGAATTCTGTGCCAAAATGATCTGCTTAAAGTAAATCATGATCATTACCAAGTATTGTCAACATATTTTAACTCAAAAAAAGTTTTAGCTTGTGTATTTCTTGACAATAATCAATTATCCTAAAGCAGAAAGCATTTTATTTTCTTGTTTTCAAGTAAATACTGTAACAAATTTTCCGAAATTTTAGTTTCGATATTGATGGTACTGCCTTACTAGGACCTACCTTTAACAGTAGAAGTTAATACTCCACTATCAAATTAAATATCAGTTGATTTTTTACATATTTTAATGAATAGTTAGGTAATAAACGATAATTATAAAATTTTTTAAAATTAATAATACATATTTTCATTTTTCTGAATTCGATAAATGTTCCATTTTAAACTATCATTTGTCAAGAATTTAATTTTAAAATCGAGGAATAGAAAAATGAAACAATTAAAAATATTTTTTTGAAAAGGAGTTTAGTTTATCATATAGTTTGAAATAATTTGTTTGTAGGAATCCCAGAAGAAATATTTGCAAAATGAGTTCAGCAGTAGAAAATGGGGCTGGAGATGGGACTTCAAAAAAGAAAACCATCGAAGGTATTTACCAAAAGAAATCGCAATTGGAGCACATTTTACTGCGTCCTGACACTTACATTGGCTCAGTTGAGTTTGTTACTGAAAATATGTGGGTGTATGATAAAGAAAAGGAAATGATGGTACAGAGGGAAATAAAGTATGTTCCTGGTCTCTACAAAATTTTTGATGAAATTCTCGTAAACGCTGCTGATAATAAACAGCGAGATCGAAAAATGGATCAGATTAAAATAGATATTGATGCGTAAGTGCATTTATCATTGTTTTTTTTTCTTGTAAAATTATAGGATATGTACATTTAAAGAATTTTTCAGCGAGAACAATACCATATCTGTATGGAACAATGGTAAAGGTATTCCAGTTGTTATTCACAAAGAAGAAAATATGTACGTGCCAACAATGATTTTTGGTCATTTGTTGACATCTTCAAACTACGATGACGAGGAAGAGAAAGTGACTGGCGGTAGAAATGGATATGGAGCGAAATTGTGTAATATTTTCAGTCACCGGTTCACTGTAGAAACTGCCTGTAAAGAATACAAACGATGTCTCAAGCAGGTGATAAGTTTTATTTTTCGTAATTCTTTGATACTGAAATTTATAAATTTGTCTTAATGGAAAGTGAACTATTTTTTACAGACGTGGGGAAATAATATGGGGAAAGCCAGTGAGCCTAGAATTAAAGAATTCGCTGGAGATGATTTTACAAAGGTCACTTTCTCGCCTGATTTATCTAAATTCAAAATGCAATCGCTGGATGATGACATCGTTTCGCTAATGTCTCGGCGGGCATTTGATGTAGCTGCTTCTTGTGGGGGTGGTGTAAAAGTTTACCTCAATGGCCACAAAGTCCCCATTAAAGGATTCAAGGATTACATAGACCTGTTCGTTAAAGGCAAAGAAGATGATGTTGGAAATCCTCTGAAAATTTGCTATGAAAAATGCACAGAACGCTGGGAAGTTGCAATGACATTGTCTGATAAAGGTTTTCAACAAATGTCCTTCGTCAACAGTATCGCCACAACAAAGGTATCTCAATTTGCAAGCACTCAATTTAATTTCCATTTTTTACTTTATTCACGACTTTCGTTTTCGGTTTTAGGGTGGCCGACATGTTGATCACGTAACGGATATGATTGTGAAGCAACTTACGGAAACGCTCAAGAAGAAAAATAAAGGAGGCATTGCCATAAAACCATTCCAAATTAAAAATCACATGTGGATTTTCATCAACTGTCTTATCAATAATCCAACTTTTGATTCGCAGACTAAAGAGAATATGACTCTTCAAGCTAAGAGTTTTGGCTCCAAGTGCTCACTTAGTGAAAAATTTATAACTAGTGTAGGTTGTCGACCTTATAAATTAGTTTTTTTCTTATAAATTCATTTAATGAGACTGTTTTCATCGCAGAGAATCATCAATCGCGTTTTTCAGTATTCTGCGAAGACGCGAATTTAACTTGCTATTTTATCCAGCTTAATTTATCTATTCCCTTCGCGATGAAAACAGGATTGGCTAAACTGCAATACGCCATCTGGTGTTTACCTACTTCTGACAACCGTTTTGCTTTTTTGTCTTTTTTTAATTAACACAATAGAAAGAGAAATAAAAACCAAAATCTCTGACGAAGTAGGTAAAAGTCACTAGACCGCCAATCCCAATAAGTTCATTTTAAAAGCATATTTTTTATTTCAGGTAACGAAAATAGGAATTGTTGAATCCGTTCTCTCGTGGGCGAAATTTAAAGCAGACAGTCAACTACAAAAATTAGGTCCAAAATCAAAGCAAAGGAAGCTTCAAGGTAACTCTAATTGAGACAATTTTCTTTTTAAACTATCTTTCAGTTTACAAGAAAAACAGTACGAATGTAGTTTTGGTCCGAACTAGGAACAAAATGGCGACAGTTTGAAAAAAGTTCGAAAGCAGTAAATTCTAGTTCGCAAAGTAATCACTTTACGCATTGTTATAAAAAGAGGCACTTTACACAGGTTAGTGTTGCTTAAAAGTTGTTTTTGAGTAACACGCATTTAAAATTTTTCTTTGAAAATCGTAAAAAATTACTTACAGCTATTCAGTATGAGTTATTGTGTTCATTCCATCAACACTTGGAGATTGTAATTATTTATTAAGCAAAAATTTCATAATGATATCAAGTTAAAAGAGTAAATCTATTAAACAAAATTAATTACCTTTATTAAAAATAAGTAAATGGATGCAATTTTAAACATATGTGACGTAATGATAATATATTAGGTTTTACCCAAGAAATAAAAATTATAATTATTACAAAAGACACTTTCTGTAAATTTGAAGATTTTGAGTCCAATTAATAGATATATTGTTCTTTTTTCATTGATAAACATGTTCATTTTTATAGGGTTGAAAGTTGAGAAGATTGAAATAAAATTGTTGTTTTATTATTTTGCCTTTGTTTTTTGCCAATGTGTAAACCTCGAGAGGGTTCATGTTCAGGGTAAAGTTTTTTGTTACAAAACTTATTAAAGATAAAGAAGATGAAATCTCTAGAGGCTTGAAATGTTGACAAAAAACAAAGGAAACAAAGTAAGAAACAATTTTATTTCAATCTTCTCAATTTTTTATTAGGGTTTCGTGGCCCAGTGCTTCTCTGACTTTTTTTCTCTACCTTAAATCATTAATGATCCTAAAGTCAAAATTCTCTTAAATATCTATATTTGTTCTTTAAATATTTTAAATGGTAAAAATGTCAGTAGCTTCTTAATTTTAGGTCGTATAAGGTTCAAAAAATAGGTCACTCAATGTTTTTTTAAATATACGTCAAACTGGTTATAATAGTTTAAAGGTTACATACAAATTTTTAAATACAAAATTTTAGGAAGTAATTTTTTAAGAATTTTTCATTTTTTAACTTTAACAACTTTGGATAAAAGAAAAAAAAACACCTGTACGTGTCAGAAATGTTTTTTTTAATATTAAACGTTTATTTAAAATCTGAAACGTTTTTTTAATAAATGAAAAACAGAAAAACATAGGTAGACTTGTTCATTTAGTCTGAAAAAGAATAAAATTTGAAAATTTTTGGTATTACATGAGAAAGCAACTAATCAATTGTATTCAAAATACTCTCATTTTATATTTCACTGTGGGGCATAGTTTTTAACAAGCTTATGTTAGAAGTTATTATGACTATTTAAATTATGATACTTTGCAGGAATACCAAAATTGGAAGATGCTAATGACGCAGGTACTGGTAGATCTATGGATTGTACCCTGATTCTGACCGAAGGAGACTCAGCTAAAAGTATGGCTGTTGCTGGACTTTCTGCTGTTGGTCGTGACAAATTTGGTATCTTTCCATTAAAAGGTCAGTTGATTAGGGCAAATAAAAATTAAGACAATGTAGATTAGTCTATATGAGTTAGGCTAGATTGAGATGAGTCCTGATAAGAAATCACGGTGAGCTTGGATGAAGTTCAACCCAAAAGTTAATGAACATCGACATTTTCTTTTGGATATTCTTTGGGGAGTTCTTCTGGTTATTTTAAGACCAAAATGAAAATAATCGATGGAAGGAAATTAAAATTACCTTGTTTTTTAACTTTTTTAATAGTGATTTTAAATAATTTATCAAAAAAAAACTTTATTTAAATTTTTTTCTTAATGCAAAACATGTACTTTGATATTAATAAGAATTTCTACAAGAATTAGTCGATTAAAATATTTTAAAATATTAATTTTTTTAAAAATTGATGAAAAACATGGCTTTTTTACGGTTTTTTGAAAATAAAACTTCTATTATGCATTTCACACTAAAATCGTAAAGAATTGAATTAAAGTAGTACATAAAATTTTCTGTAAAACGAAACAAAATAGACTGTTTTAGAAAACTGGTTTAGAAAACTTAATATTTGATGTAGAATTCTAATTTAGGAGGCCAATTTCAATTTTTTTTTCTTTAATGCCCTAAATATAAAAAATACAATATAATATGTTTAAAGGGATTTATTTTTGAACAATTTCACATAGATGAAATTAATGGAAATCTGGTAGCCTGAAACTTATAGGATTTTGAATTTTAGAAAACTGGTGGTTTCCATGATAAGTCTATTTTGTTTCGTTTTATAGAAAATTTTATGTACTACTTTAATTCAACTCTTTACGATTTTAGTGTGAAATGCATAATAGAAGTTTTATTTTCAAAAAACCGTAAAAAAAACCATGTTTTTCATCAATTTTTAAAAAAATTAATATTTTAAAATATTTTAATCGACTAATTCTTGTAGAAATTCTTATTAATATCAAAGTACATGTTTTGCATTAAGAAAAAAATTTAAATAAAGTTTTTTTTTGATAAATTATTTAAAATCACTATTAAAAAAGTTAAAAAACAAGGTAATTTTAATTTCCTTCCATCGATTATTTTCATTTTGGTCTTAAAATAACCAGAAGAACTCCCCAAAGAATATCCAAAAGAAAATGTCGATGTTCATTAACTTTTGGGTTGAACTTCATCCAAGCTCACCGTGAAATAGGTTAAATATTCTAGAATTAGATTATTTAAAGATGAGGCTAAATAAGAATTGAGTTATATGTTTATTTATTGTTTAGGTAAAATTCTGAACGTAAGAGAGGCAACTCACAAGCAGATTCTCGAAAACGCCGAAATCAACAATTTGATTAAAATTCTTGGCTTACAATACAAAAAAAAGTATGAATCGAGGGATGATATGAAGACTTTGCGCTATGGAAAACTTATGATTATGACAGATCAAGATCAGGTTCTTATTTATTTATTTAATGATTTATTCTCAATACTGTGACTAGATGGAAAATAAGAAAATTAATTTCAGGACGGTTCACACATTAAAGGACTTTTAATAAATTTCATTCATCACAATTGGCCGTCCTTGTTGAAGCTCAATTTCGTAGAGGAGTTTATTACGCCAATCGTGAAAGCAAGAAAAAAAAATGTAGTCAAATCTTTTTATTCCCTACCAGAGTTTGAGATTTGGAAAAAAGAAACTGAAAATTTCCACACCTACAGCATTAAATACTACAAAGGTTTTATTTTTTTCAATTATAAGTTTTTATTCCAAAGTTCATTTGAAATAATGCAATGAATTCTGCTGGACAGGTTTGGGCACCTCTAATAATACTGAAGCAAAGGAGTACTTTAATGACATGGTGAAACATCGAATCAAGTTCAAGTACGAGGGTGACCAGGATGATCAGAACATTATTATGGCTTTCAGTAAAAAGTGCGTAGACTTGCGAAAAGATTGGTTGACTAATCATATGGAAGAAACGAAGAGAAGAAAAGAAACCGGTCTCAACGAGAGGTATCTGTACCAAAAGGACACGCGCGCTGTCTCATTCTCTGACTTCATCAACGTGGAACTGGTTTTGTTCAGCAACTATGACAACGTGAGGTCGATACCAAATATGATTGATGGACTGAAGCCTGGCCAGAGGAAAGTTATGTTTACTTGTTTCAAACGGAATGATAAAAAGGAAGTGAAAGTCGCTCAGTTGGGAGCATCTGTTGCTGAAAGGTCTGCTTATCACCATGGTGAAGCGTCGCTTATGGCAACCATAATAAACTTGGCTCAAGACTTTGTTGGGACTAATAACATCAACCTGTTGCAGCCTCGCGGTCAATTCGGCACGAGGCTCGTAGGTGGAAAAGACGCGGCCAGTCCGAGATATATTTTTACTAAGCTCAGGTAAACAAACATTCATATATTGTATTCAGCCTGGTCCGGTCGTGAGCATATTTTTCAATATTTTTTTAATATTTATCTCAGATTTTTTTTATACTACGTATATTTCGATGGCTGGGTGTAAAAACATGATACATCGAATTGGCGTTGAAAAACATGATACGTCGGATTAGCGTTGGAAAACATGATACATCGTCGTTTGATTTGAAGAACTTGACACGTCGAAAACGAAATTTTTCTTTTCAAATTTCTGTTCTGTCAATAATTAATCTTTTAACACCGGAGAAAAATCGATAGTAGGTATAAACTAATGCAACACCATACTAGGTGTTTTCAAAATCGCTGATTATAAATTTTATGTCGAATTGACAATTTGACAGTTGACAGCTGTTAATGCAACAGTCGAAATTTCTAAAATATAATTATATTTAACAAATCAACTTTTCTAAAAAGTAATTATTTTTAACGAAAATAACAGTGTTTTTTGGGTCGCTGATTACGAATATGATGTCAAATTGACAATTATTTGTCATTATTATTGTCATTTATGGGCATATCTCTAGAACTTTTTAACTTGGAGATATTAGAAAAATTAATTTTTTTTCAGGGCACATTTGTGAAACAAATTTTATTGTCTTCAGTATTAATCAAATACTATAAAAAAATTTGCGTAACTCATTTTTACACATTTTTAAGCAGCACAGTGGGCCTTATTGCAAAAAACCTGCCCAAAATCTCTAGATGTGTTTAAAACTGACTGAAATTTGTTACTCGCGGATTTTTTTGGTCGCTGATTACAAATCCGACGTTAGTTTTTCAAAATTCAAAATGGCGGACGACTTTTAAAAAAATTGATCGAATTTGTCTGAAATTTGTTACTCGGGGGTTTTTTGGGTCGCTGATTACGAATCTGAACTTAGTTTTTCAAAATTCAAAATGGCGGATCCAATATGGCGGACAACTTTTTAAAAAATTGATCCAATTGGTCTGAAATTTGTTACTTGGGGGTTTTCGTAGCTTAGGTTTTGTAACCATGTACATAAAATTTAAAGTTTCATTACTAATATTTAAAATGGTGTATCAAATATGTCAGAAAGATATTTTTCAATTATTCAATTTTTATAAAAATTTATGCCTAAGGTTTTCTGAGGTCACTGATTACGAAACTGAACTTATTTTAAAACCCAAATATATTATTATAATATAAACGAACACTACTTTTTGTTACCTTTAAAATGATTTAATGCTACAGTTTCGAAAATTTTATGTCCTATGGCTTATTAAGTCATAAGTAAATGTAGTTTATAACAATTTTTGAATTTTTTAAAAATTTTTTAAAAAATTATGTTTGCAATTTTGGATCCACCATTTTGAAATTTGAAAAATTAAGTTCAGATTCGTAATCAGCGACCCCATAAACCCCCGAGTAACAAATTTTAGGCCAATGGGATCAATTTTGTAAAAAGTCATCCGCCATATTGAATCCGCCATTTTGAATTTTGAAAAACAAAGTTCAGATTCATAATCAGCGACCCCAAAAACCCCCGAGTAACAAATTTGAGGCCAATGGGATTACTTTTTTAAAAAGTCGTCCGCCATATTGGATTTGACATTTTGAATTTTGGAAAATTTTAAATTCAGATTAGTAGTCGTAGCGACCCCAAAAACCTTCGAGTGAGAAATATCAGCCAGATTTAAACACATCTATTAGTTAATACTTACTTTTCTTCACAAACTATGCTTCGGACAGTTTAGGTTTATATTCATTATTAATTATACAGTTTTAATGAAGTGTGCGATTATTCTGTATACTTTTATAATGCATGAGAAGAGATTACAATGAGTTGGGAGCATTTAGAAGCAAAATTCAACATGTGCTTTTCAAATATGTGGTTTTTTGATATGAGTTACGTTTTAAAATTTAATGTTTGAAGTCATTGCATTCTTTGTGTAAATGAGGCACACATTCCTGTATGGGTTCAAATTACTTCTTTTTAGGTAGATAATATAATCCCGTTGTGCCGTTACTCAAAAACCTTCGTTAAAAAAGTTATATCAGTTTAACTGCTAACTTGTAGAAATGTTGAAAAAGTTGTCTCGCAAGTTTGAAGCTACATAGTTTTTATTCAATTTGAGGCACATCATTGTTTCATGGATTTTTTAGTTCTTTACACTCCCACCTACTTCTATTGCAAGCCACAAGACACACAATGTTTCGTTAAAAAAGTTACAGTCTATAAACTAAAAAAAACAGTCAATATCACACACTAGAAACTGTCGATTTCACCACTTTAACTTACGTTCGTCATTTCCTACATAATTAAAAAAATTATATAACGCATGATACATTTAAAAAGCCCTATAATTGGTCAAATTATGGTATTGAAAAATTATTAAAAAAATTCTTAAGGTATCATTATGAGCGATAACATAAAGTTTAAAAGTTCTAGAGATATGCCCTTATATTTCATGTTCTAATGTTGGAATATTCTTGTAAGTTCGAAAAATATGATGTGATTTTCATTTTTTTCAATAATTATGATGCATTATTCATATTATAATATTTTTATAATTTTTTATTTGAATATTCGCAAAATATTCCAATGGAATATTCCCACAATATTCCAAATAAATATTCCTGAAGTAATTCTATGAAATATCCAAATATTCTTGCAACATTTCAAAAGAATATTTCAAAAAGTGATTATTTTTATGCTCCTGGAATGTAAATGGAATAGTATTTTAAAATATTCCCAATATTCTAATGAAATATTCCAGGAATGTGATTGGAATATCCCATGTTATTCAGCAATTATCATTTTCATTTCAATTATGGTGGTTTTCCTTCATTTTTGTCATTTTTTTGCGGATTCTCCTAGGGTGCCCACAACCGGGTACTACTTTTTTTCACTAAAAGTGATCACTTCACTAAATTCTTAATAAAATCTTTCCAATTGAAGGAATCAATTTAGTTTTTTTAAGGTCTCTAGATTGCCACTGATACACACAAGTCTCATAATATGCATTTGGTTAAAAGTTATGAGCCATAAACAAAAGGGTGCCCACAACCAGAACTATTCCCTTACTATAGTGAAAAAGAAGGATACTAAAAATTAGATTTCATGAAGCTTAAAAGACTGTTTTTTTAATTTTATATTTATATCATATGAATGCACATGAGCGCGATTAGTCCGCGTAAATTCGAAAAGAGATGTAAAATCTCAAAGCCACGTGTCACGAAGTGAAACCCCTCCCTCGTGGTTTCAATCTACAAAATCGTTGGTAATAGCAGTTCTTATAATGCGGAAAAAATACAGAATCTAAAATGAAAAACGTAAAATTTTGTAATTTTCCCATTTTAAATAATTGTCAAATCTCCAATGATTTTGACACTTTCAATGTAGGTAATAATAGTACCCACTTTCAATGTAGCAAAATAACTAATGACTGAGAAATTACAGCAGATGGTAAAATTCTTATTGACGAACGTAAACTTACCATGTTTAAAATAGCAATTATCTAGAAAATGGGAATTTTTTTTACCAAACCAAGGAATATTGACATTTTTAATATGGTAAATCATTTGTTTAAGTGAAAGTGATACATTAAAAGTGGGAAATAATCGTTTCCTCTTTCAAACAGGTAAAATTCCTTTAATACTTTGTACAATGCATGCGTAAACGCATGATCTTTGGACATTTTTAGTATTTTCTTAATTCACACTCGCATACAATATGAACCCAAGGAGGGTTCTGATACAGGATCAGTATCGGACCGATGTCGGATTTTGACATGCCAATGTCGTATCGATACTAATATACGGTACTGTTTCGGTATCGAAAGGATGTTGGAATGTAGGATCGGACCGATACTGTTTTCCTACACCGTTACAATATTGGAATCCGACATTGCTCCGATACTGAAATTCAACCTCGATCCAATATTGGATTTCATCATTAAATTAAAAAAAATAATAAAAATAAAATAAATTTATTCCATTTATTAAGTTTAACTTAGTATTACTTTTTATTTTCTGTAGATTCCACATACATGACTTTTTTTTCTACCTTAAACGAAATTGAACGCTCAACTCGCATGTTTTGAAAAATCCTAACATAAAAGAAACATAAAAGAAGTATTAGGAAAGATTTTATGTTTGCTCAGATTTGTAAAAAAAAATTCAAAATTTCACGGGGGTGGAGGTTTTAATCACAAAACTACCAACTGTAATACAATAATAAACTTCTTTTCGCTATTTTCATTCAAAGAAATATATTTTTAATAGTGAAAATATTCAATCGGACCGTTCTCTAAAACGGTTCAATAGATTATTTTGATTTTTTCGAGAAAAGTTTCTATTTTCGAGAAAAAAATTTTTACTGAGCAAAGACTTTTGGGTTGAGTCTGGTTAAGGCGCACCGTGATTGTAATAGGAGCAGTTTGCTTTCGTCTATATAGTGGTATAGCTACAATTTTGGTTTAATTCCGATACCACTGTTTATTCTATTCAATTATAATTTGTCGCCGACTCACACTCTCAGTCTCAGATACCGAAATATTTATTACAAGTTTTTTTTCCATATATTTATGTTGTGAATTGGAACCGATCGTGGCGCAGCAATTTTAAAAGTTTGCTGAGTAACCATTATTATAGGCGACATGAACAATTTTTTGGGGATAAACGTTTCAACTACTGCTCGATGTTTATATAACGATAGGTATACAGAAATGTTATTTTACACAAAATGTAATGATTCTTTTTCAGCCCATTGGCACGTTTCATCTTTCATAAAGACGACGATTTTGTACTCAGATACGAGTATGACGATAACATAAAAATTGAGCCTGTCTATTATGTACCAGTCATACCAATGGTACTGGTTAATGGAGCTGATGGCATTGGAACAGGTTGGATGACAAAAATCCCAAACTATGATCCACGAGAAATTATCAGCAATCTACGTAGGATGATGGATGGTGACGAACCGAAGCCAATGGTAATTGTTTCTCCTTTACAATTATTAAACTGTGGACATTCATATCATAGGCTCACATTATTTTATTTCTTCAACAGAAACCTTATTATAAAAACTTTCTTGGAAGTATTGAGCCCTGTGGTGAATTCCGATATGTAATCAGTGGTGTAATCTCGGTTATTGGACCTGACAAAATTGAAATAACCGAATTGCCCATTGGAATGTGGACACAAACATACAAGGAAACTGTCTTGGAACCAATGTTACACGGCTCTGACAAATCACCATCTGTTATTACGTAAGTTTCTAAACTTTTAAATAACTTTTAATGTTCCTTAGTTTAATTGTTACAGAAAAATTACATACCAATAACAAGTAATGCACTTTTCCATAAGAGAGCAAGCTCTCTAAAAAGTTAACTTTATCTTTATACTTGCTTCATAAAAAGAAAACTTATAAGCTTTAAATGTTTTTCTTCTTCAGAGACTACAAGGAATACAACTCTGACGAATCGGTCCTTTTCATTGTGACAATGAGTCGTGAAAAATTACAAGAATTTGAAAGAGATGGTCTTCATAAAGCATTTAAATTGCAAACTACTACGTCAATTACATCAATGGTGCGTTTACTTGGAAATTTTATATTTAAACCTTTTTGAATCTCGCAAAAAAAATTGAAATTAAAAGACTTTTTTTTCTTAGTGTGCCTTCGATGAAAATCAGTGTCTACAGAAGTACGACAATGTTCTTCAGTTCATGAATAATTTTTATAAAGTCAGATTGGAAGTATACCATAAAAGAAAGGAGTACTTGGAAGGTGCTTTGAAAGCTGAAGCGACCAAAATCTCTAATCAGTGTAGATTTATTATCGAGAAATGCGATGGCAGTTTAGTTGTCGAAAATAAGAAAAAGAAGGAAATGATTGCCGAACTCGTGCGCAAGAAGTATGACTCAGATCCCGTCGTAGCATGGAAATTGACTCAAAATCGAGAAGAAGTTCTGGTTAGTATAAATTTATCAATTTTCTATTTACATTAATTTCTGCTAACAATGTCCATCTGTTGTGCTGCATTTCTTGTTCAATCACGTAAGTTAATCAATTAAATCAATCCATGATTTGCCAAGTTGTTTAATGTCGTCAATTTTTTCGTAGGAGGAAGTAGCCGAGGAGGTAGAGGATGAAATTTCAGCAACAACGATACAGACGGAAAACTTTGATTATCTTCTTGGCATGACGTTATGGAATTTAACAAGAGAAAAGAAAGACGATTTGCTCCGTCAAAAAGATGAAAAATTGACTCAACTGAAGAATTTACAAGCACGAACACCAACATGTCTATGGAAAGAAGATTTAGATAATTTGTTGCAAGAATTAAATAAAGTAAATATATATAGAATATACAATATATTTTCAAAACGTTTCTTTTTTTAAATGAAAATTTTATTCTAGATCGAGGACAAAGAAAAAGAAGAATCAAAAAAATATCAAAAAAATATGAAGAAACCTCCTCCAAAGTTTTACAATTCTGGTGAAATGCGAAAAATAGTTCCAATTATTGACGGTGAACTGAAAAAGAAAATAGAAAAGGCAGACATTGTTTCGAAAGATAAAAAAGAAGGAATAAAAAAACAGCCCAAAGTAAGTAACTTACGCACACTGTTCTTTTTCGAAATTTACAATTTATTTCCATGTTTCGTTTTAGGTGAAGAAAGAGAAAGAAGATAAAGACGAATTTGATGCTCTGGTTGAAAACAATGCTAAAAGTCTTGATGACAGACTGGGTAGCTCACCAGAAAAAATAGATAAGAAAGGGAAGAAAGGAGGTAACTTGATAAGTTTCTTGTATCTTATTGTGCCTGATGTTAATTTAAACTCAAAAATGGAGTTGTTTACATGTATTTGCACTTTCAGGTGCTAGACAAACAACTCTTCCATTCAAACCAATTAAGAAAACTAAAAAGAAAGATTCTACTAGTGATGAGAGTGAAGATGATCCTGATGTTGATGATATAGATTTCGAAAGTCTTTCACCGCCTCCTCCTCGGGCAAAACGTGAGTATTTGATATGAATGATTTAATATTTGAATGTACTTTTATATTGCGTTTTACTATTACAGCAAGTTCAGAAGAACTTTTCGATTCCTTAGTCAACAATTCATCGCCAGATGAGAAACCAACAAGGCCTACTATAATTTCTTCCGGCGAAGATTCACCCATAAAACCTGCAGCTAAAAAAGGTACAAATTTTTTTTTGTATATTGTGTTCTAGAGATTAAAAAGAAGCGGTCATTTTTTGAGTAATAGACCTTTCATTTAAGGAATGAACATGGCGCAATAGGGTGTCCGTAAAAAAGTTGATTTTCGAATTGTATTTGGGCCCCCCTCACCAATTTTCCATTGATAATACATGGCAAAAATGCACTTTTTAAAAAAAAATTCAGAACTTTTCAATTATTGAGCAAAAAAATTTTTAAGGTCACAAATTCGTTCATTTTTACCTACTGCTTAAGTTGGTATATTTAAATAAATTTCAAAATGGATTAAATATAGGTTATAAAAAAGGATTTCAATGTAATCAATCATTTATCACATAAATACTCAAAATAATTCAACAAATCTTCATACTTGGGGGTTTTTGAGTCTAGTCAATTATTTTTAAGATGTGTGACGAAGAGTGAAATAATAATTTGTAGTCTGCAAATATATCTGACAAATTAATGAATTCCCATAAGACTTAATGTTAAATTTTGAAAAACTAAATCGATCGTAACGTTTTTCTTAAGTACCTATACCTCTCAAAAATTTAATTACATCACTAAATAAACTTTATCTACCTAACAGTGAACCAAATTTTATTAAAATGGTAATGTTAACTCTCTTTATAATAGAACCTCCTTAAATGAAAATGAAAAACAAAAATAACAATTTGAGATGAAACGATTTTTAGTTAATTAAATATTTAAGTCGAATTTATTATTTTAGTTAAAGCTATAAAAATCCTTTCTCACACAGAGTGACCGGGTTACAAGTTGCTGAGGCTCTACCACTAAATCAGCAAAGAATGAAGTCAACCGTTCAATTGACAATACATTGATTTTACTATTAATTCAGAGAGGATAGTTGTTTAACCCAAAAAAATTCAATTAATTACTCAATCAATTACTTTTATTTGGATAAAATATTGTCCCTTTGTCAAAAATGACTTCTTCTTCTTATCAAACAACCGTTTTATCATTTCTTGAATTTTACAGCTCCTAGAAAGAAATCTGAGAATGGTAGTGGTAAAGGACCAAAGAGACCACGACAGAAAAAGAAGGTGCTGAAATCTTCTGGATCCGAATCCGATGATATTTTTGAAGTAAAAACGAGCCCCGTAAGTATAATTGTAATTTGCTTATATTTCAGTCACCTACAACTGAGTAAAAAATCAGAAGTTTCTCAATTCTTATTCCTTATTAATCAAAGATAACAGTTTGTTTCTCCTCTTATTTTAATTATAGAATTATTTTAAAATTATAAATGATATTTTATTTTTACTTTATAAATAAAAATTCCTTTAATTTCTAAGAATAGAATACTTACAAGTATAATTAACCCTAGATGATCACATAAAAAATGTTTTAACTACCTATCTGAGATTTATGAAACCACCTACCTTTAATTTGATATATTTTTTTTATTTGCATCCAGATTATCGAGCCCACAGTCCAAAGACTATTTAAGGGCATTTTTGTATAATCTTTTAATCAAATATCGACTCTTTAATAAAACGATCACACAATCCAATATAATATTTCCAAATAAATGTCGAGTTTCCAAAAAAATAGTCAAATATTTGATTGATCAGAATATTCTTCTTATTCTTCTTCTATTTGTGGCTTCGACTAGTCAGGCCAATTCTAATCAGAATATTACTAATATGATGATTTAAGAAATTCAATTTCATACAGGAGATATGTAGAGGCCATAGCCATTTCTATTCAATAGAGTTGACCGGGCCTGGACAAAGAGTGAGGAACGGACCCGGTAATTTTTGATAATGCGGCAATATATCGAACTGTTAGCGCTATGATCGATATAAAGTCGCAGGGGCGAACTATAAACCCCTTACCGTAACCCTTATCGTAGCATATTTGATCATTTGAGCTGCCGGATCAAAGAAGGGCACATAAATTTTTTCCGCTTGAAAACGGAGTCTCTTGGCCACTAAAAATTCAACTTTAAATTTTTAATGTTTTTTAAGCAAATTCTTATAGCGAATATTACGAATTTCTTAATGAAACAAAAACGAAAATACGTGTTATTATATTCTACGAGTGACTAAAAAAGAAAAAAGTTAATTTTATTAAAAATAAAAAAGTTATTAATTTTTTAATGAGACATTACAAAATTCGTGAACTGCAATTTTCTCAATGCAGAGAAGTTCGACAAATTTTCAGCAGCAACAAACTTTCTCACTGCAAGTTTGTTGCTGCTGAAAATTTGTCGAACTTCTCCGCATTGAGAAAATTGCAGTTCACGAATTTTGTAATGTCTCATTAAAAAATTAATAACTTTTTTATTTTTAATAAAATTAACTTTTTTCTTTTTTAGTCACTCGTAGAATATAATAACACGTATTTTCGTTTTTGTTTCATTAAGAAATTCGTAAAATTGTCTGTGCTGTCGCGAGTTTAATTAAAAATAAAATCGGACAAAATGAAATCGAGGGTTCCGTACTCAAAGCGAACTTATTTTGTATAAAAACAAATGTTTAAAAAATGTGTGTTGTATGACAAATAATATAAGTGATACAAAATTGAACAATTTTGTTAAATTTAAGAAAATTGTTCCTTTTTGTATCACATATATTATTTAACATACAACACATATTTTTTAAACATTTGTTTTTATACCAAAGGAGGAACAATTTTCTTAAATTTTTTTTTCAAAATTGTTCCTTTTTGTATCACTTATATTATTTGTCATACAACACATATTTTTTAAACATTTGTTTTTATACCAAATAAGTTCGCTTCGAGTACGGAACCCTCGATTTCATTTTGTCCGATTTTATTTTTAATTAAAATAAACATTTTCATAAAAAAAATGTGAAAAGAATATCGAATTAAAAAAGGAAGAACAGGAGGGAGAGAAACAAATGAGAAAAAAATAAATAGAACAGAGAAACGAATAAACAACTTATGGGAAAAGTCCACTTTATTCAAAAAAATTTTCTTTTTTGAAAAAAACTTAATTAAAACAACTTCTAATCATGTTTTTTAAATTATTTCTATAATATTCACACAAAAATGCGTAAAAATTAATAAATTTTAAGCCCTTTAGATAAAATTTTCTTAGTTTTTGGTAGAAAAATACATTTCTTTCCCTAAAATTATCATTTTTCTTTAAAAATTTGATAAAAATTAATCATTAACTCCAATCGTGCTCACATCTTTTTTCCTGTAATTTTCACGCATCTTCAAACTTCTGGGTTGAATATTGTGTGGGCTAGGGGGATAAAACTGTTTTTTTCGACATTTTTGATTTTTCCTTGACAACGCTATGTAAGTCGATCCAAATCAAGTTCGCTATATTTTTCCTGTAATTTTCACGTAAAAATACATAAGTGTACCAAATTTGAGATCATTATGTCAAAAGATGTGGCTGCTAGGGTGGGGTACATAGTCATTTTTCGTAAAAATTCTTGGTTTTTCCTTGATAACGCTATGAAAATCAACTCCAATCATGGTCGCTATATTTTTTTTGTAATCTACACGTAAAAATATATAAATTTGAATTCCTTTATATGAAATTTTCTTCGTTTTTGGTGAAAAAATACATTTTTTTTCCTAAAATTGTCATTTTTTCTTGAAAAATTTGATAAAAAGTTAATCATCAACTCCAATCGTGACCGGTTTTTTCCCTATATTTTTCACGTAAAAATACATTTGTATACTAAATATGTACTGTCTGGGTTAAATATTGTGAGCGCTAGGGGGTTAAAACTGTTTTTTTTCGACATTTTTGATTTTTCCTTGACAACGCTATGTAAGTCGATCCAAATCAAGTTCGTTATATTTTTCCTGTAATTTTCACGTAAAAATACATAAGTGTACCAAATTTGAGATCTCTATGTCAAAAGATGTGGCTGCTAGGGGGGCGGGGATACATAGTCATTTTTAGGCATTTTTCTTAAAAATTCATGGTTTTTTCTTGACAACGCTATGTTAACCCTAGAAGGAGTATATGAATTTTCTCACCCTCTAAAGGGTAACTGGGGTGTCCAGACACCCCCAACTTGAAACTTGTGTAAAAAGGTTTCTATTTGAAACACTTTGATACACTTTTAGAAAAAAATATTGGTTTATGCATTATTTAAAAAAATGTAATTATTTGAACAACTGAAGTGCAAAAAAAATTGAAGAAAATTGATTAATTGAAAAAATCACAAAAATTAATTATAAAATAGATTTTATCAATTAATATTTATTACAATGGGTGTTATAAATATAAAATTTTACAAATTTAATATGTATATATTTGTGAATATATTATTATCAGTAATAATCCTCAATTGAAATTTCATGTGAAGTTATAAATAAAAAATGTTTATTTTTTCTAACAATATATATTTTGTTTAATAATGTATTTTTTATAAAATGTTAAGAAATATTTTCCCGTCATATAATAATAATAATAATAATAATACATATTTATATAAATTATCAACAAGCTAACAAATATGATTTAAGGGGTTAAACCACTCTAGAACGTCAAAAAGGAGCCTAATTTTAATAATTTTTTTCAAGAAAAGTTTAAAAGTGATGAAAATTATGTTTTTATATGTATATACATATATACTTCGTGGTTAAAGTACTTACCCCTAGGGCTAAACTATGTGCAAGTTACAGCCCGATCCGATCAATTTTTTTTTCACTTAGTACGCTACAGGAATTTTACCCCATATATATCTATATTGGGTAGACTTTAAAGAGAGAAAAAAATATACTTTATACATTTCTTTTTACAAAAATATCATGTGAACAGGTACGTGATAGAAACCCTTTCTGAGGGGAATTACTTCGCGGCTGGAAAGGTTTTCGCTACAATTTTTATCCTAGAACAAAAAACAATTTTTTAATATATTTTTTTATATATTTTCTGAACATTTTAAGAAAAAACAGTTTTTGCTTAAAAAATAGGCACTAAATTATTTATAACTAAAGAAATAAGCAACATAAAAAAAATCCGTACTTCTTTCTGTAGATAATGTTATTAAGAAGCTGGAGTTAAATTTTTAAGTAAATCGGTTGAGATTTGTGAAAGTTATGTTTGCGGCCAGCTCAAAAAAAATAGTTTTGAGAAAAACGCGTTTAAAGTTTTACTTATGATTTTTTGAAAATTCTAGAGTAATTTATCCCCTTAAAGCGCTTGGCATTATTCGAAATTCTTTAGTATCCGTACAGGAGTAATTTAACTTTTTGAAAACATGATGTTTCCTTCTTCAATTTTTAAACATTTTGAAAGTATGTGTTATTATTTTCTTTTCTGAAAAAAGGATTATGGCGTTATTTTTTCGATTTCTGTAGCGCGACTCAACTGTGAAGACTGCCGCGAACTATTCTGGGGCGCGCAGCTCGCACTAAACTTATGCTTATATAATTATATGTATATATAACTTATATAATTATATATAATAAGATATAATTAACAATAAGGAAAACTTATTACACATGTTACGAATTTTATTATAAACATATATTTAAGAATTTTTAAGGTGATTTATTTTAAACAATTATTTTTATTCGAGATTACAAATTCATATAATATTTATGTCACTCCACATTCATAACCCGAATCTCATTTAAATAGTCAATTAATTTCTTTAAAAATAATACAAATGTAGCTACACAGAACTATCACCAAAAATCAAACACTTTTTCTCTTACGTAAAAATTATTATAAAAGATAGATTCATCCAAAAATCAGCATTGTCAAATGTATTTAGCTAATAATTTATTTTTGTGTATGGCAAAGGACCGTGAACGCAATTAATATGAATTTAAATATTTGTACAAGACAATCACAAATACAATATTTCTCATTCACTGGTTATATATTATGCTTATCAAAAAAGACAACGTCAGCTTACAGAATTCATTTGAGAGAACTTCTTCGTCCAATTGACTCTGGATTCCTTCTTATTTCTTTTGTTTGACGTAAGATTTGAGAAAAAACCAGCAGATAGTCAAAATACATTCAATTATTCGTCAACGACAACCACACGAGGTGTTATGCCAATTATACACCAACCGCTATAACAATAATCGCATATCACACAATTTTATCAGAAATTAGACTATATAATTATTTAAAAACGGAACTTACTCCTATTGGGCAACGTGGTTATTTATTTGGTCGATGTTGACCGGCGTTTAATATCTTTATATAATTCTTTGCACAATTTCATGTGCCCGGGTCCCTTGACCACACTAATCTCAATTTCCTCTTTTCGTCTATCTAATCGCTTACTTCCTACCTATTGTCTCCCTACTACTCAATAATTTCTTTTTCGACGATACATTCAAACATTCATATCTCACACACACTTTGAAACTCACAGTAATCCTCAAAGTTAAGACGCACTAAAGAAATCGAAAAAGTAACGCTATGATCTTTTTGAGTGTTTACATGACTAATTTTTGCATCTCAAATCAATGGTCTTTAATCCTTTATTACAAAAAAGAAAAAAATATAAATTTTTTTTGTAAAGCGATTTTTTCGTATACTGAAGTTTACAAATTTTTTCAATATTTAAATATATATTTAATTGAATGGTGAATTTCGAAAAGGGCTCAACTCGAAAAAGCGTAGGTGTCATTTTCGCATAACAATTGATAGTGAAAATAACTCTTAGCCTTTTTAGAGTTGAGCCCTTTTCGAAATTCACCATTCAATTGCAAGCAGTATTAGATTATCTCTTGCAATACTTATCTAATGTCTAGCAATTTCATTACATTTTTTAAACCGTATTGTTTTTCTTTTTATATTGTTACCTATCTAGGGAAAATACATTTATATCAAACATGCTCGAAAACCTCGTTTTATTGATAGTGTGAATCGGGGGTACGAGCTTTCCATCATATGTGATACAAAAAATCGTATGCACCTCGGTAAGTCCTTTATGTGCTAAGCACAATTGTGCAAAATTGTGCTTGGCACATAGTCCGACTTACCTCACTTGGTGCATAATATACTATTACATTTTTTCAAAAAATTTTCCCACCTTAAAAACATTTAACATTATTTTTTGACGTGTGCATTTCCAACTTTAATAACTTTTTTATCCCTCAGGCACAAACATGGCGCTAGGTTATAAATAGCCCATGTGTTATTTTTGTCCTATGGTAAAAATGCATGCCATTTTCAAACAGTAGAACAAATGCTTTTTCACCCGGCCTTCAGATAACCTAAAAACGCGCCGTTTGTGCCTTTAGAATAAAAACTATCGTAAGTAACATGAATCCAATGTCAGCCAATTGTTTATGTTGGCTGCCTTTGGACTCTTGTTGATTAATGTACTATTATTTTGGAAATAAAAAATGAAGTCCTGGAGTACAAATGTATGTTTTCACTAATTATGCGTTTATTATCAACACCAATTGAGTGTTTCGATTAAATAACTCGACCCGCTAAAGTGCGCAAGTCCAGCTGGAGTCATTTGATCGGGACACTCAATTTGTTAATAAAAAGATTACAGTTAGTTATATTTGTTACAGGCCAAGAAACGTAAGAAGAATTCTGACTCAGAGGATGAAAATATGTCGGACAGCTCCCCTCCACCGCGCACAACAGCCAGACGCGCTAGAAAACCAGTGTCGTATGCTCTTAAGTCAGACAACGAAATGAGTGATTCAGATTAAGCACAAAAACGTTAGACGTACGTAATGAGTGCAAAACACGGAAGAAGTCAATGTTTTAATTGCATTCCATTTGTTACTTTAATACAATTTACGTAAATTTGTCTAGGTAGTATTTTTATTACTTAAAAAACTTACCGAAACAGTATGACTTGTGGCTAATGATCAGTTACATTAGTTCATAATGCGCTTGCAATTCAGATCATTACTAATGTACAAACGGGTAATTATAATGTATCAAAAAAGTGTTAAAATTAATCATTAGACCATAGATATTTATTAAAACTATAGTTTAATAATTAAATTTAATATTTTCAGAATTAATTTTAAGTAAAAAATCGTTTCCATATTCTTTTAATACGTATTGGTGATTTAATTCATGAAATTGAAAATGTTAAATTTATAATTAATATAGAAAAAAGATCTCGTGTACATTTGGCGATACATTTTTAAAAGTTTGTCAAATTTCTTTGCTTTTATAGTCGATTTAAAGCTTTTCTTTTAAAACATATTGTATTACATGTTTATAGTCAATTTTATTGGCTGAAGAATACTCGAAATTATAATTAATAAACGTGTTTGTACTGCAATAATGACTTACTTATTACACTGTGTTACAGAAAAGAAAAATAAACTTACTTTTAATCTGACATATCCTAAGTTGTTGCTCTTGAAAAACTAAAAAAATGGTATATGTATATTCAATTTTCCAAATACCCCCAAAATTTAATTTTAAAGCTAAAAACCGTTTTTCTGTAGTTTAAGTATAAAATATTTTGTAACTTTGTCATTTTTGATCCGGTATCAAATTTTTTTTTATTTTAAAACTGAATAACAAGTCCAGGTGCGAATTTTTGGTCGACCCAAAGTTGGAACTCGACAAGTAAATTTGATTAGGAAAAACTAAAACCAGCTCAGGAATTCTGTTGTTACCTTACAGAAATAATAGACCGCAGAGAGGGAGGTATAAGGATAAACACCATGAATGAGACAAAATTTATAACAATAACACTATTTATTAACAGTCACTTCAAATTTTCTAAATTTATGAAAGTGGAATAAGGCCTATTAACAAAATTCAATTTTATTTCTTTAATTATTATTATTTTTAAATAATAATGAGATCGATTCAGAAGGAAAACGACTCATAATATATACTGGGGACTCACCGCCCATTTGACGACGACGTCTCGTCCCACACATAAATTTACCAGATTTTAAATTTAATTTTACATGCAAGTCCACAGGAAGTTGACTGCCAGTATTGATTTGAAAGATCGTCAACAAAACAGCAATTTTGTTTTCCTGGTGTTCTGAATATTCAACACTAAAATGAATTAAAAAATGGAATACGTCTACCCAGGGCCGAATTTATATACAGGCAAACTAGACAACCGCCTAGGATCCACCACCATAAAAGATTACTAGTGCGTACCTACTGAGAGGTCGTTTTCGAAACTGAAATTAATAAAACATCGATTAAGGTAATTAATCGGTCAAGATCAGCTCAATCATCTTTCCATATTGAGTATTGAAAGTGATTTATTATAAAAGTTTCTTTTTCTGATATTATCGACGACTTTGCTGACAAAAAGTCCCGTAAAGTTTTATTGTAAAGTATTCTCTATTCTTTCTATAGTATTATCTAGGTACTAGCGATATATTCCTCGCTCGCTGATGCTTGCTCGGATGCAGTTGTACTTTTTGTTCTTTACGTATTACTAGTTTATAATTATTTACATTTTTTTATGTTTTGAATTATTATTTCATTACTATTTTATTGAAAAAATCTTGATTTCGATCATTTTTTTGCCGAATAAACTGACAATTATTATTTTATAATAACACAGCCTCACAAAAAAAAGTGTCATGTACTTTTGACCGGAATCCGAAGTCCGTTTTGCTCCATCACGTCAGGATTTTTTTCTAACCTCAAAAAACATGTCGAATTTTGAGAGGTATGCGATTTTTTTAAAAATTGATGGATTTATTTTAAACTTGGTATCTGGGGGTTTTTTGAGTCGCTGATTACGAATCTGAAGTTAGATTTTAAAAATTTTAAATGGCGGACGAATTAAAAAAAATTAAGATTTACTTCAAACTTGGTATCTAAAGGTATTTTGGGTCGCTCATAACAAATCTGAAATCATATTTTCAAAATTCAAAATGGCAGCTGCAATATGGCTGATGAATTTTTTAAAAAAATATTAAGATTTACATAAAATTTGGTATAACAGAATAAGATGCAGAATGGAACAATGCACTTTCTTATTCGGCTTCTGCACCAAACATATCCAATCTGTTACCAAAGAATATTTTATGAAAAAATTTTAATAAAAGTCATATTATATCGAATTTCGAAAATCTGACGTCAGATTCTCAATCAGCGATCCCAACAACCCTAGATATGTTACCAATTTTTAAGTGAAATATTTTGAAAAGATTATTCATTCAAATTCTAGAAATATCGAAATGAAATATTTCTAAATTGTTAAAAATACATATTTAGGCAATATCATCCGGATATATTTGTGAAAAATAAAAAAAATGAATTATTCATTAATGAATAATCTTTTCAAAATATTTCACTTAAAAATTTGTAACATATTTCATTTTTTTATTTTGCAAATATTAAAAAATAATATGTCAGTAATTTTTCATCCTCACATTTCCTCAACATTTCGCTGAAATTTTTCGTACAATCGGAACTGCAATATTTCTTATAGGCGGACATTTCATTGTTGCATCAAAATTTCATGGACCTTTCATTGAAATATTTCGAATCTTTCAATGAAATATTCAGGACAAATTCAGGAAATTTTATGTGCTGTGTGGGAATATGTGGTAAAAATGACATTTTATAATCGAATATTATTCCCAAGAATCGAACTCTGTCGCTAGATTTAACAATATGCCCTTTAACTGTAATTTCCAAATTACCTGGAGGAATCTTCTTATTATTAAAATGCAGTAACTGGGTTTTATTTGGGGAGAGTTCAAGGCCAAGTGAGATTAAGTTTTTATCAATTTTTTCAATAGCTTTAGTCAATAGACCCTTGCCTCTTCTCACTGTTTTAGACTTGAAATAAACAGCTATGTCGTCTGCAAACTGTGAAACCTTAACATTCTTGTTTATATCATCCGCAATATTTGCCACATAAAGTAAATACAGAAGCGGACTAAGAACACCACCCTGAGAAACCCCAATATGTACATTTCTAGTTTCATCGCTAGTATAAGCAGTATAAATGTATCTTTCGTGAGATATAAATTTTTTAAAAGTTATCAATTTATTAGAGCAACCAACTGTAACAAGTTTAGATAATAAGATATCAATATTTACGTAATTGAAAGCGCCCATTACATCAAGAAAGACAGCTAGAACATGTTTTTATTTCAATAAAAGCTTCGTCTACTTTCAAGGTCAAGTTAACTAGATTATCCGTACAGGATCTTCCTTTTCTAATCCCAATTTCAGAATCAGGAATTAGTTTATGGGTTTCCGCCCACCACTGCAACCTATTTTTAATCATAGTTTCAAACAGTTTCAATAAACAAGATGTCAGCGTCAAAGGTCTAAGACTATTACTGCCAGGCTTATTTGACCGAATCCATGTCAAATCATGCAGGCAGTCCGATGATATATTGCGAATTAATTTCAGAATGAAGTATGTTATTCTACTTGAAAAATAAAGAAATACGTGTTTTTTTATATTTTGATTCGATTTTGTGTAGTTTTTACGACTTTTTAAAGATTTTTTCAAGAAAATTAAATTTTTTGCATTTTTCGCTTAAAAAAAGCATAACTTTCGTAATTTTTAACCTTTTTTGTTGCTCCTGGGCTTATTTTTTTCCATTTTTTTTACTCTTTTAAAAAAAGTTGCTCCGAATGAAAAATATTAAAAAAACAACGATAAAAATGGAATTTTTCGAAAAAACAAAAAAAATTTTTTTCTTAAAAATGCCACCTTTTTTTTGCCCCAAATTTTCAGGATTAATTGGTACACATATGTACTACATACCATAAAAATTTCACTTGGTATTTTTTTGTTTCCTAGGAGAAAAAAAATATTTTCATTTTTTTAATTAAAAACTCTAAAAATCATCAAATTTAAAAGGTTTCTAACTGCTCCTTGATTCATTTTTTTACTTTTCAACATTATTTTCGAAAATTGCGCAAAAAATAAAGAATGTTAATAATTTGCAAGAAAAATAACTTTGTTTTAAAAAAAAACGAAAAAAAAGAATTCAAAAATTTTTTTTTTTTTCAAAATTGCTTTTTAGATTTTTTATGTATTGATCAATTCTAAAAGCAATATTTAGAAAAAAAAACAATTTCAACAATCCAATCAATCGATCGAATTATTTTCGAAAATTGCGTAAAAAATAAAGAATGTTAATAATTTTTAAAAATATCTAACTTTTTTATAGAAAAAAAAATGAAACAAATAGGTTTCAAAAATATTTTTTTTATACGTACATTTTTTTTTGTTATTTTTTCGGGTTCTATAAAACTACTTTTTATATTTCCTTTTAAAACGATTTGACAAACAAAAATGTACGTATAAAAAAAATATTTTTGAAACCTATTTGTTTCGTTTTTTTTCTCTATAAAAATTAGATATTTTTAAAAATTATTAACATTCTTTATTTTTTGCGCAATTTTCGAAAATAATGTTGAAAAGTAAAAAAATGAATCAAGGAGCAGTTAGAAACCTTTTAAATTTGATGATTTTTAGAGTTTTTAATTAAAAAAATGAAAATATTTTTTTTCTCCTAAGAAACAAAAAAATACCAAGTGAAATTTTTATGGTATGTAGTACATATGTGTACCAATTAATCCTGAAAATTTGGGGCAAAAAAAAGGTGGCATTTTTGAGAAAAAATTTTTTTTTGTTTTTTCGAAAAATTCCATTTTTATCGTTGTTTTTTAATATTTTTCATTCGGAGCAACTTTTTTTAAAAGAGTAAAAAAAATGGAAAAAAATAAGCCCAGGAGCAACAAAAAAGGTTAAAAATTACGAAAGTTATGCTTTTTTTAAGCGAAAAATGCAAAAAATTTAATTTTCTTGAAAAAATCTTTAAAAAGTCGTAAAAACTACACAAAATCGAATCAAAATATAAAAAAACACGTATTTCTTTATTTTTCAAGTAGAATAACATACTTCATTCTGAAATTAATACGCAATATATCATCGGACTGCCTGCATGATTTGACATGGATTCGGTCATTTACAAAATGTACAAAACATTCCCTCCAGCTCAAAGGATAGTCCTTAGTCTGGTAGAGTAAATTATATATGTCAAGAAGAATCAATTTATACTTTATAGGTAGTTTTTTAAGAATATCGAAATCAATCCCATTCAAACCTGGTGACGATTTAGTATTACATTCTCATCATAATGAGAAGGTATTACATTTGGGCGATTTTGAGCATTCTCTAATTTTAGTAAATCTCGACGTTTTGAGACTTTCTGATGCCGAAAAAATGGGTCCTAAAAAATGTCTGTCTGTCTGTCTGTAGACAAAATTTGGTCCGACGATAACTCGAACAAATTTTAATGAATCGACTTCAAATTTGGTATACACTTTAAGTGTACCAAAATCTCGCCTGAGTTCGTTGGCCAGATGATTTCGTTGAAAAACAAC